AAAGAGCTAGTTAGCCCCTTCTACCACGTGGAAGCAGAGAGCAAGCCCTCAGCAGACATTGAATCTGCTGACATCTTGACCTTGTACTTCCCAGCCTCTAGAACTGTGAGAACCAGTTGTTTATTATCTACCCAAGTTAAAGTATTTTGTTAAAGCAGCTTGAATGGCCTAAGACATAGTCATAAGCTATTTACATAATAACAAAATTGGAGCAAGATGCAGTAGTGTTGTATGGATCATACACAAGAGGGCACAAGATATCCTCTTTAGGGAGAGGCTGAGTTTCCTGAGATGCCAAAGCTGAGAGGAGTCATGAGCAGCAGGTTAGAGACAGCTTCCCCAATGACAGTCTGAATACCCCACCTTGGAGAGCTTCAACAAACCTTCAAACCCCTGTATGAAAGAAGTTCAGCAAGAATAGTTTGTCCCAGAGGATAACTCAATGGACAAATGTTCTAGGTGCACAAGACCATGGCCTTAATACCCAATCTCCTGAGACGAAATCCAGAAGGGTCAGAAATGTATTGACCATGTAGATAAATTTATTTTAATTTTTGTGTTTTAAGTGAACTTTTGGTGTAGCAAATTTACTTTGACTTCTAAGGTATTCAAATAGTTATTAATAGGTTGAGTATTGGGTTGTAATAGTTCATAAGGAAAGATTTTTCTCCATGACGTCATGATGTGAACCCAGTAGATCCTGCTTTAGGAAAGTTGATTTATTCAAAAGATCACACAACTAGTTTATTGCTCAGTCCAGTTATCCTCCAGGAAGTGTATCCCATTTTAGAATCCAAGGACTTCCTAAGAAGAGTTAGAAACTTGAGTTCTTCCATATTGCCAGGACCATCCTGATTCATAAGGTAATCCCAGAAGCAAAGTAAAGAAACTGGGAAGTCTAGTCCTCATTTATCAATTAAACCAAATAAAAGTCACTGGATTGTCCTTAGAATTAGGCTTTACTCTGCCTAGAATTCACAGCACATCTAGCAAGCCTGTGGAATCCTGGCCTTGCATGGGCCAGCTCTCCAGGACTATGTCAGGACATGTCTCTTTAGACATTTGCTCACTGGTTTGTATGGTGATTACATAACCCAAAAGTTATAAAAGAAGCACAGTTAGTGGCACTTTTCCATTCCAGTTTTGAAAATCTGGATGGGGGGGTAGGTGGGTGGAGTTGGTGGCAGGGCAGGTAATTAAAGGAAAAATTATGTCAAATATTTGCCAATAAAGCATTTATTTTCCTGTTGGCCTTTTTGTTCTTCCTTCAGTAGGAAAAAGTAGTTTTTTTTCTCTTATACTTTTTTTCCTGTTTTCATTCTATAAAAGAGCAGTATTGAAATTATTATTGCCTCATACATCCTTGTCACTTCACAGGGAAGACCTGATTTAAACTGTGAAACTGAGGTTTATAACAAAGGATTAAATATGGATGTTCTGTATTTTAAATGATTCATTGGGTTAAAAGAATTAAAGAATTGATTCTAAATTAAACTACTTTTAACTTAAGAGTATCTTTTAAAAAGTGAACTCTACCAAAGAAAGGCACTGAATCATTAGTGTTTTGACACCTAATGGCAGCTTCATAAATTACATCAGTGTCTTGATTTTGTTCGTTGTTGTTGTTGCAGTTTCTGTGGTTGTATCAGTTTTTTAAAAAGCGCTGTGCATTCCTTATAGTCTTTTATATTTTTTGAAGGGCTTTATAGTGTCTAAAATTGTTCTTCATTTTATCTGTTATAACCAGCTAGTGAAGGCAATATAGCTAACATTCGATTTTGACAAATGACAACAGTGAGGCAGGGGAAGGAGGAGCTCAGTCATTTGTGGGAAAGCACACAATGATTTGCAAGTCTAGGCCAGGCACAGGGCTCATGCCTGTACTCCCAGCACTCTGGGAGGCCATGGCGGACAGATTCTCTGAGCTCAGGAGTTCAAGAAAGACCAGCCTGAGCAACAGCGAGATCTTGTCTTTAAAAAATAGCAGGTGTTATGGTGGGTGGCTGTAGTTCCAGCTACTTCAGAGGCTGAGGCGAGAGGATCACTTGAGCCCAAGAGTTTGAGGGTGCTGTGAGCTATGACGCCACAGTACTTTACCAAGGGTGACAGAATGAGACTCTTGTCTTAAAAGAAAGAAAGTCTAGTTAGAATTCTAACTCTTTAGAGGTTTCTGCAACTTTGATTAATTTTCCTTTTTTTTTTT